CAATCAATCAATCAATCAACCACCCAACATCCCTCTATCCATATATACATCATCTATCACACGAAATTACCCACCCACTATGTATCTATCTATCTATCTATTCCTCTCCCAAAATTCACCCGCTCTCTTCACCGCCAGAATCGCCTCCTCTTTAAACCCAATCACATGACCTATCAAGATAATATCATGCACAGCATTCTTCTCAATCTGCAACTCCGTGCTATTACCCACTGCCGTGAACTCATTATAAGCCTTCACATCATCATCAAAGAGTACCTCACACTCGCCCGTGCTAAAGAACAATGGAGTAGGAGTCTTGAATGCATTTCCCAAGAACGAGATATTCGGATGCGCCAGCTCCACACCCGTGCCTTCCAACGGCGCCAAGCCTTCTGCACCCCAGATTCCAAATCCTCCATCTAGGTAATCCGTTGCGGCCCGAGGAGAGAATTCAAAAGCTCCATCGACGAGTGTACTAATGGGATCAACCCACGGAGACCATAACCATGCACAACCCGGATTGGGAAGTCCCGCTTCTGGATTATCGTGAATATATCTCAAGAGAGCCAGTACCAAATTTCCGCCCGCACTATCCCCCGAAACGACGATTTTGTTGGCATCGATCTTGAGCGTTTCGGTCAGATACACAAAACTCGTAATAGCATCTTGGAGCGCGGCTGGGAACTTTCCTGCTGGAGTCGTAGCAAGACGGTATTGAGGGCAGAAGACAAATGAGGCGGTGGTATTAGCTATCATCGTCTTTGCCGCAAACCCAGCATCGTTTGTTCGGCCATCTCCAATGACATATGCACCGCCATGGAAATGAAGAACGACGTCACCGGCCGCCTTGCCATTTGATGGACGATTAGGAAACCAGGTGCCACCGATGGTTTCGGGTCTAATTTCGAAATTGGTCATTGTGACGCCTTGATAACGGTTTGCAGGAGCAGGATGGATGGTTGAGAAACGGGCGCCTTCTTTGCCGGGGAGAAGGGTGAGAATTGTTGCTGATTTGGTTACAGAGACGGATTTGATGAAGGCTTTGAGGACACGGATCCGAAGAGCTTGGATGTAGGTCCATCCTGAAGTAGGGCGGTTGAATGATGGGACATAGTATACAAGCCAGAAGGGAAGACGTATGATGTTGAACGAGATGGCGCCGAATATCCAAATGTATTTTCCCGGGAAGGATTCAAAGAATGGATTTGAAGTCATGGTGATGGATTTATGGCCGGCACTCTGAGTACGGTTTTCCAATCTCCGTTATAGGTCCAATAAGGTTCAGAGGAGATATGGGAAATAGTCACGGTAGACAAAACGCAATATTAAGATCACAAAATCAAATTGGAAAGGAACAATTGAAAGAACGTGTCGAGCGTGTTGCGTGGAGAAAATTTGCCGAAATCATCATGCGCGGAATCAAGTCCCACTAATCGTGCCCACCCCCGCCAAAAGACGGAAACAAAAGAAAGTGAAAATCATCATTCTGATTGCATAGTTATCCGTCCCAAGATATAATATCAAATCATCAAATCACCAAGTCAAGCTCCTCATATTCTCACAACATTCAAAACATCTAACAAAGAAATTTATCAGGTACCTACTCGAATATTCATCTCCTAACCTGGTCTAATCGAAAATTCAAACTGAATTCATAGACTCCACTCCAAGCGTATGTATCTGCTTACACCTATTATCTATCACCAAGTAATATGCTATATGGAACAAGCAAGAATAAGTAGTAATAATATCAAGAAATTTACTTAGTCAAATACATTAAGGTTAATCTTCCCCTTTCTCTAATACCCCAATACCCCAGTAGAAAATCGATGAATGATTTACTCGTATATATCTAATTATTACCAATCCGATAACCTTACATCCAAGCCAAAAACTATCCTTGTAAAAAGACAATTCGCCAGTTTCATTTCAACCCCCTTGCCCATAGAATAGGCAGAGTTAGCTATGTGCTGGCTTAAGAAAAGAAGATAATATAATATGTATCTGCTCTGTCCGAAAGGATCATTTGCACAAGAAAGTATTTCTCTTCTTCATGCCAGAACCTACCTTCCTTCCTTCCCATCAATGATATGATATCCGAATTACCAGACGCCTTCCCATACCACCCCCTATCCGTGGCATCTAAACCATTAACCATCTCAAGATTCATCGATCTCAGAATTCATATCGCGATCTACAAAACGATCATCAATCCAAAGATACCGCCCACAACAGCCACAAGCATCGCCACATTAGCGTCAGCGAGACGGGCTGCTGCACCTGTGAATGGGACGTAGGTAGAATAACCCAGGACTGAAGATGTTCCAGCTGGACCTGCCGACACAGTTGAGGGAGTTGGCTTACATCCACCCAGTGGGCAAACCGCCACCGTGGTTGCGACGTAGGTAGGAGCTGGTGTTGGAGCCACATATGTGATGATTGTAGTAGGGCCTCCACCTTCAACGTAAGAGATGATTGTTGTTGCGCTTGGGCCGGCGGGGTAAGTAATATAAGTTGTGACGCCGACACCGTAGATGGAGGTGGTATATGTAAGTGGGGATGGTGCAGGGACATAGATGGAAGGTTCAGGGACACGGCCGACTGGTTCCGACTGGTTCCGAGTGAGTGCCGAGAGTTGGGGCTGGCACCATGTAGATGGATGATTCGGGGAGGGTGCTGTAGACTGGACATGTGGACATGGTGTATGGCAGACATGTCTTGCATGGAAGGATGGTGGGTGGGATTGGTGTCCAGGTGTAGGAAGTGGGGACTGCTGTTTCGTGGCAGGATGTTGTGGTAGCAGTGATGAAGCTTCCGCTGGGGCATGGAACACCAGCACTAGACAAGGCACATGCGTAGCAAGGATATCCAACTGTCGATGTACTCCAAATTGGTTTGTGTTCAGTGGAGCAATCACTTGTGATGTAGGAAGTAACTAATATTTGTTAGCATAGAGTTACTAGAGTATGAGAGAGATATCGACGAACCAGTCTTATCTCCAATAGTATGGCACGATTCAATGATGGATATGTAAACGATAATTTCAACACCAACAATATTGTCCCCAGTTGGGCATGCAGGTGTTACATATGGAGGGGGAATGAAAGTTCTGAGAACAAGTCAGTATCTAACTAATCATCAGAAACCGAATTACTTACGTGGTAACAGTTGAGATATCATGAATAGTTTTGGTATCATGATCAGTGACAATATCGTGAACAGTAGCAGTCACAGTCCTGTTATGATCAATAGTTGAAATGATAATTTTGTTCCCATATGGACCAGGGAGTCCACCAGATCCTAATGAATGATATGGAATAGTGGCAGATGCAGAGGGAGAGTAGACTGGAGTCGTCGTGTTGGTAAGAGCTGGAAGACAATGTCCGTCACCGGTTAGACGACCAGATTCACATTTGCAGCTTGCTGAACATCCATCACCGGATACTGTGTTACCATCATCACACTCTTCGTTCAATGATGCTTCCCAAATTCCATCGCCACATCCCGCTGGCGTTGTACCACGACTGATAATGTATGGTAATCCAATTGTCTTATCACCGAAGGTTTGGGATCCGACACCGATGACATCTTGAGCAATAGCAAGAGCTTCGAAACCATTGATTCCGACAGATGGGTAACTGGAGAAGGCTTCATGAACACTGCAAGACCAACTGGATAGAGCAGCATCATTAAGAGTTCCGAGTGCCGGTGAAGATGCCACAATGTGAGCCTTGTTGTAGCAATCAAGGTTTCCTCGAACAGTGAAGTCTCCAAAGTATGAGAGAGATTCCACTTTTGCCGAATCCACATTGTTATAATAACAAGACACAGCATAATAGAGACCAGTCTGTTGAGCACCAGCAAGATTTTTGGCAGATGCTGCAAATGTGATGGAGTTGTCGATCAAAACTTTTGCGCCAGGTTGAGCGGAGAAGTGGAATGTGGGATCCGTCCCTGATTTCAAAACTAGTAGTCTTATCATTTGCAAGTGGTCTGAGATCCCTACCAATGACGACAATGTTTCCCTGAACCGCTGGTCCCCAAGTATTCTTGGTGTCGGTCAAGAACTGGACATCACTAGGTGACGTTGAGCAATCTGGATCGGCAATGACAATGGCTTTGAAAGCAGCAAATTCGGCGGTTGTCATTGTCTTCCATTGTGCTTCACTGACTACCTTTGTGGTATATCCAAGGGCAGATGTTGCCTCCGCAAACTCTTTAAATTCAAAGGTATCCACAAAAAGGAGGTCTTCCGCAAGTGCAGAAGTCGCGAGACTGGCCAACAGACCACCCGTGGAGAACTTCATTGTGATAAGAGTTGACGAAGAAGTGTAGTTGTGTTGTATTAAGAAAAATTATCTATGATAACAAGAAAAAAAACGAGTGTCTGTTAAAGAGCGACTGAAAGAGAACGAGTGACGACAGCGGAAAGTTGGGGAGGTGGATAGGAAGACTGGAAGGGATATAATATATACACACGGAACTCATACTTGCTTCGTGTTTTTCCCATGGCTTCAAAGTGATAGTCTTGGCTTAGAGGGCTGTGAGGTAATAGATCCTAAATGGCTGAAGTGCTATGGACAAATTGAATCATGGAATAGTCAATTTGCTGTTCAGGTTGTGTAAACTCATGTATGACAGGTCGGATATCAACATCGTACCTGCATAGGGTCAGAAATCGTTTACGCCTCAAGAATCCTGCTTCTCCAAGCCGATCATGTGTATTTTCAGCTCAACAGCCAAATTCTTGGCAATGAAAATGAATGGTGAAGTTTCACAAAGTGCTTTTTGGTTAAATTTAATCCAAAATTAGATAGTGAGGAGATTGGTTAAGAAACATAAAACATACGATGCGAAAAGCATAAAATCATTTTCATCTCGAGTTGATTTGCACAGCTTGGTTGATTGATGCAGGTACAATTAGGGTTTTCCGCCCCAGAAAAGATGATAACGATGAGCTGGGACATGCCAAGTCAACAAATTATATTGATCTTACTCAGGGGATCAATCATTGGAGCCTCAAGTTGATTTTATTTGACAATTCGCTATTCAAAACGGCACTTGCCATAACTAGAATCAACGGCGCCACCAAACCAAAGGAGCAAAGAAAAAACAAAAAAATCCTTAAAATTTTAGACTCTTGAACCCCCCTAAGATATTGGTGATTCATGCGAGTGCGAGATACATACTTGATCTTGATGTTGAGAATAGATCAGTTGTACTTCGTTGACAAGACAAGCGAAAGAGGACGGGTCAATTAATCTAATCCAATGTTCTAACCACCAAAACTCAACCCGAACTTTAATCTTATCCGATGATGGATGACTAATAAATTATTAACGCTGCCCTTAACCTTACCTTAAACTTGCATTTTCATCTTCTTCTCAGTCTCTCAGTCCACCATTTTCTAATCTTCATCCCATCCCATCACAACTCATCTCATCACATCTTATCTCATGTCTCTTTCACTAATAGATAACTTAGATAAGCTCTACTTATGGTGGGGAATAAGGACTTGGAGAAGTGGCTGGAGCGGGGTAGGTTTTGCTATCATCACGTACTTACTCAGCTGGATTTGACTTGACTGGTTTTGGATATGGGTATGGATGGGTATTGAGATTATGGGTGACATTGTTTATAGACGAGTTGATGAGTGAACGAATAGGGGAGTAGACGAGTAGACGAGTTGATGTAGATGTATGTAGATGTAGATGTAAGAAGAAAGGATAAAAGATGAAAAATGTATGAATAAGCACATCTATTCCAAGATCAAATCGAATATTGGGTATCTCAAAACTACCAGTGCGTCAATCATCTACCTACTTCCCTTCGACCTCCTACACCCTTCATCATTACCCTATGCTCTTCCCCTCCCCGCCTCCTGAACAACCTCTCCGATCGTTCTAATCACTTCTTCCAAATCTCCACCGCCCGTTACATTAACCCCACTATACCAATCATACACCCCCTCCGCCTCTTTCAAATCCCTTTTATCTTTCCATTCTTGTTCTGCCCCGGTCGTCCATTCCCATCTTACGGTGATTTTGATCTTTTCCTTTCTCTTATCTCCCAGCTTGGTTGGCGGTGCGGGACCCAGAATAGGAACCGAAAAAACCTCAAAACTCATTTGCTTAACTCCTCCTTTGTCACCCGGTCCCGAAAAAACTTTCCGAAGAACATTTGCTTGCGGAGTTGATTTCCATCCGCCTGCATCTTCTTTTGAAGAAAAGGAAAAAATATGAGCTAACCAACATCCTACAGCCCATAGAATATATTCCTTTGCATAATCCCACTCTGGAACTGTTTGAGGTGGGGGACATATTTCAAGTAGAGGGGAAGTATCTGGTGTGATGCGTAGATAGTAGACTGGACGAGAGTGACTTTGAGTAGCAGTCATAGTGCGGATCTGGAGGATTGATGGTAAAGGGGTGAGAGGTGTTGTATGGGAAAAGGATGAAGGTATGGAGGAATGAGGTGGTGATGAAAGAGGAAGAGGGAACGTGATGGTGGTTAGGGATTCGAGCTGATTGGTTAGAGCTGTAAGTATGTTTTCGGGGGTTGAGGACTTTGGGATGAGGGGAGAGGTTCCGGGGGCAATGGTGTAGGTTGGTGGAGTGGGAAGGGAGGCAGAGGTAAGCGTCGTGCAGAGCGGCGTGAGGAGGGAGTGGATAGAAGAAATGATGGTTTCATGGGAGAGGCGGGTAAGAAGAGAGCGTAGAATGGGGAATGGGTTGTTCGGACGAAGTTGGCCAGATATGGGTGGTGGTGGACTAGTCCGGATACGATGTTGTCGGCGATGTGAGAGAGAAAGTAGAAGATGAAGAGTTAGATGAATACCATTGGCAAGGTATGAATCTGGCCGTGGGCCTAGAACAGGTCGGAATGGATCGTTAGGTAAGGTTTGAAGCTCAATTAGGATCTTTTTGGTCGAAGAAAGTGGAAGGGTGATTGTGTTTGTGTTGGAATCCGATTGTAGGCCATGAGACGCGAGATTTCTCACTTCTCGAGACATTTCCTGCCAAAGTTCGGATACGAAAATAGTGTTTCGTGCTTGAAGAATTAAGTCTTGAATCGGTGCATCTTCTGGAACGGCTTTGGGAAGTATTGTTTCTCCAGTTATAGCCCCATTGGTTTCGATTAAAACACGTAAACATTGAGGTTCCGGACTGGCGATCCCTTGGTCCAGATATATTGATCCATCAGGATTTCGTCGAAGTGCTCCAAGACTACGATTTCTAAATGCCGGTGCGGCTATAAAGTGTGTTAGCTTGAGTTACGATATCAGAGATTGAATGAACTAACCTTCTACAAATCCATATCTAACACCCAACGTATGTTTCTCTTGAGGTAAGCGGCATACTGCCCATCCACTCTCACTGACAGCGAGAACTTGCTCCCAGTATTTCGTTTCCGCGTCAATTTCTTTCTCCAATCTTGTCGCAGATGCTAAAATTGAATCCACTGTTTTATTGAGATTGGACGCTTTCCACCCTTTAGCTATCCTTTTGTTTTCTTGCTTTTGGACATCTGTAATTCGTGACTGTACGGTTTTATCCGCACCCAAGGTACCCATTCCGGCCAATTCCCGAAGTGATGGTGATATTGATGTGCTAGCTTGTACAGGCGCATCTTTGGAAAGGAGGAGGGATATGAAGTCAAGAGATATCATGGCGGCATTATGTGCATGTCTATACTGCTATCAGTATTTGCGTGTGGTGGTTCCGCCGCTGTAACATACTCAATTTGGCCAAGAATCTCATCTCTTGCGGTCAAGAGCTCCTTCATACGATCTGCAGGCTCCTCCTCTGTTTCTCCATCTTCACTAAAACTTTCATTCTCCTCGTCATTCTCTCCAAGTTCTGCTTCTGCGATTTCTTGTCGTAAACTATCCTCGGAGAGATTACGAAAACCACCACGTTCGGCATTGATTCTTGCGATTAATATAGGTAAGGGGATGGAGCCAGTGGTTGATTTTGGTGCTGGGCGCAATGAAAGTGGAATACCATTGGGAAAGGAAGACATTGTGGAAGGAGATATAGCATTGTAGGATGCTGATATGAATTAGAAGGTATCAATTGCTCCATGGCGGGTTGAATTGAGCTAAAAGAAGAATGAACATTCACCGCTTTTAAATACTGCCAGTAGATGAAGCTCTCTGCTCCCACTGTCTATCTATCTATCTATCGATCTTCACTCCACACAATAGATTTTTGATACTATTGATATTATTGTCAATTCTCGACATATACCTATAAACCTTCACTTCATATTCCTTCAATCAAAACACGAAATCTATTCACCATCTCAAAGTCTTTCTACCATCTCTCGTCTACAGGTCTACAAGTCAGTCAGCCATCATTTTTACTGTCCGAATTGAGTCCGGCACTATAATGCTCAGGTACCATAAGATGACCAATCATAGTGAAGATTAAAGAATTAAGGATCCGCCTTATGGATCTCCGCAAAACATTATAGTATGAATTTAAAGTTAAAGTTTTTTATCATATATTGTAAAAGAATAGGTAATTCTTCTTATCACATATATTACTTACTATACGAGTAGGAGAAGAATAAAAGGAAATATACCTAGTAATTACATCTTTATCAACTGACTTTTCCATAATATATATCTTCAACATGATTGGTTTTCCAACCCCCCTTGCCCCCCCACCAAGACCCTTTTTCCCCGATAACGAGCCATCAAAACTCTTTATCGTACCAGCCAGTATATCGAATTGACCAGGCCTCAGCCCACCAAAATTATGACCAGTTAGTTGATCAGGCCCCATCTTAAAGTACAAAACTCCCAACTTTTCGTCATCTCAACCCATCCTAACCTTTAACCTTTAACTCATCCTAAGAAAGAAATAAATTAACCTTACCTGACTGACCTGTCTCTGATCTCAAACTTCCATTCTTCTCTTTTCTTACTTCCTTCATTATACCTTTATTCATTCATTTAACTTTCAACAAAATATCCCTAAAAGCTCATCATGGCTCCTCAACCCCCACCACCCTCCGAAGGGAAGAAACGACGCATCGCCATCATGACCAGTGGAGGTGATTCTCCTGGTATGAATGGTGTTGTACGAGCCTGCGTTCGAATGGCAATCTATAAAGGATGTGAACCATATTGTATCTACGAAGGATATGAAGGTTTAGTCCAAGGAGGAAAGTTGATACAAAAGATGGGTTGGGAGGATGTTCGCGGATGGCAATCAGAAGGAGGTACTCTTATTGGTACTGCTAGATGTATGGCATTCTACGAACGACCTGGCAGATTACAAGCAGCAAAAAATATGGTGCTGAATGGGCTCGATGCCCTCATCATTTGTGGTGGAGATGGTTCCTTGACTGGAGCTGATCGATTCAGAGCGGAATGGCCCGGTTTGATCAAGGAATTGATTGAAAAGAAGGAATTGACTAAACAACAAGTGGCTCCATTCAAACATCTTAATATCGTTGGTTTGGTTGGTTCAATTGACAATGATATGTCCGGTACCGATGCTACAATTGGTTGCTTTTCAGCTCTTGGTAAGATCTGCGAGATGGTGGATTACATCGAACAAACTGCATCATCACATTCAAGAGCTTTCGTTATCGAAGTTATGGGTAGACATTGTGGTTGGTTAGCCTTGATGGCAGGTGTGGCTACTGGTGCAGATTTCGTTTTCATTCCAGAGAAACCAAGAGCAGATAATTGGAAAGAGGAGATGTATAAGGTTATACAAAAGGTGTGGTTGATCTATTGCTCTAACACGAGAGTGTGCTAACAGGTACATAGCATAGACAACTGGGAAAGAGAAAGACAATTGTTATTGTTGCTGAAGGTGCTCATGATCAAGGAGGAAACAAGATTTCTCCTGAGATGATCAAGGATCTTCTTGCAGACAAGGATGGACTCGCCCTCGATACACGTATCTCTACATTAGGTCATGTACAACGTGGTGGTACTGCATGTGCCTATGATCGTTACCTTTCTACTTTACAAGGTATTGAGGCAGTAAATGCTGTTCTTGATGCTACACCAGAAACAGTTACTCCTTTTATCGCCATTAACGAGAACAAAATCACGAGGAAACCACTTGTTCAGTCTGTGATTGATACTCAAGAGGTAGCGAAGGCCATTGAAGCAAAAGACTTTACCAGGGCCATGGGATTGAGAGATACAGAATTTTCCGATTTCTACGATTCTTACATGACTACAACAGCTACTGATCTCAATAATGATATGCGTCTTCCTGAGAAGAAGGTAAGTGATGATAGAAATTTACGTATTTCTAATGCTAATTATATATAGCACATGAGAATTGCCATTGTACATGTCGGAGCTCCAGCTGGTGGTGTTAATGCTGCTACACGTGCAGCTGTAGCCTACTGCTTAACTCGTGGACATACACCAATCGCTATTCACAACGGTTTCGCTGGATTTGCCCGTCATCATCAGGATAATCCTGGATCTGTCCGAGAATTCGATTGGTTAGAAGTTGATGGGTGGGCCAGTAGAGGTGGTTCGGAAATTGGTATGAACCGTGAACTGCCATCGGAGTCCGGAATGCCATTGATTGCATCACTTTTTGAAAAATTTAAGATTGATGGTCTTCTCATCATTGGAGGTTTCGAAGGTTTCCACGCATTATCCGAACTCCGTCAAGCAAGAGAAACTTACTCGTCTCTTTGCATTCCTATGACTTTACTCCCAGCCACTATCTCCAACAATGTTCCAGGAACAGAATATTCAATTGGTTCAGATACCTGTTTGAATGAACTTGTCCGTTATTGCGACACAATCAAACAATCCGCTTCGGCTTCCCGTCGTCGTGTCTTCGTTATCGAAACTCAAGGTGGTCGATCCGGTTACGTTGCTACAATGGCTGGTCTTGCTGTTGGTGCAACCGCAGTCTATACTCCTGAAGAAGGTGTTAGTATTGCCATGCTCGCAGCAGACATCGCACATCTTAAGGAGGTCTTTGAAAAGGATAGTGGCCAATCAAGAGCCGGTCGTCTTATCCTCATCAACGAAAAGGCATCAAAGGTTTACCACGCCAAACTCATCGCTGACATGATCCGTGAAGAAGCCCGTGACCGTTTCGAATCCCGTGACTCAATTCCAGGTCACGTCCAACAAGGTGGCACCCCATCCCCAATGGATCGTACTCGTGCCGTTCGCTTAGCTATCAAATGTATTGAACATCTGGAAAAATACGAAGATCGAACAGACAAGAAGATTATTGATGATAAACAAAGTTGCACGGTAATCGGAATTAAGGGAGCTCAAGTCGTCTTTTCAAGCATGATAGATGTAGAGGAGAATGAAACAGATTGGCCAAATAGAAGACCAAAGGATGAGTTTTGGTTGGGTTTGAAATCAACGGTGGATATTCTTGCAGGAAGGCCGGCACTTCCAAGACCAGAGGGGAAGTTGGTGGGTTGGAAAGCAAAGGATAAGAAGAGAGGGTTGATTTGAGGGGATGGGGATAATGTCTGAGGGGAGGGGAAAATGAAGGGGTAGTATATTTTTATATGGGATGATCCGAGGTGGAATGACTTGATCAATAAAAGACAAGATATGATATGAGCAATGAGAGATGAGGAAAGGAATTGATGGGATTCTTTTGATAGGAAATTTTTTGTTGGAAATACATGATTGAATGAATGAATAAGTGCATATGAATGAAAGTATGAAAGCTTGAAAGTATAAACAACAAATCGTATCTCCAATATAAATGAAATGGATTATACTCGAGCACTCGAGTAGAATGAAATGAAATGAATTAAAAAAAGGATATTCAGTATTCGGTACAGTACACGGAAATTTAAATTTAACTGCGAGTAAAAGATAAACATCAAAAAAGAATAACGTGG